TATTTATAATATAAACGTGGTCCTTCGCTCATATTTATCACGTAATTGTGGTCCTTCGCTCTTGTTTATAATATAAACGTGGTCCTTCGCTCATATTTATCACGTAATCGTGGTCCTTCGCTCTTATTTATAATATAAACGTGGTCCTTCGCTCATATTTACAATAAAAACGAGGTCCTTCGCTCATATTTATAATATAATTGAGGTCCTTCGCTTTTTTATTATTTTTGTAAATTTAATCGCTACTGCATAATTTGTGAACAAATGCAACGTATAACAACGTAATTCGTATCACCGTTTTATAGTCATTACACCCGTTTAAGTCCTTCGGTCTTTCGGTTAGGTCCTTCGCCGGGGTCCTTCGGTCCTTCGCGGTCCTTCGTTTTAGTGAGTACCCTTCATCTTACATGAAAATCAAGTCAGTTCATCGGATGAAACATAAATGTTGTACGTTTGACCTTGGAATGTAATAAACCATTAATATTTAGATCTTTTAAATGAACATAAACCTGGTGGCGAAAAGACTTATTAATAACATGATTTAGTGTTGGATTTTTACACCCGAGTGGGATCGCTCGCACCGCGCTCATAACACGCCCATAGTTGGCCAAGGTGTCAGTAATACATTTATCTGGCAAAAAAAGGGTACATTTGATAAAACAATTTTAATTGAGGGACGGACCAGAGGTTCGACTGAAGCATGTAAATCTCCAACATCAATGCCAGCGGCAGAGACCATATCAACTCATGAGACATTAGACAGAAAAATGATAACAGATCGATTCATGCCCCGATCAAATCAGCAATTGCCTCCACATAGGTTTCGACTGGGATTCTACCAATATTTTCACACCTTATCGCATGATTTCTCGTTAACTGACTTGTTGACGTTGAAGGTGGTCGTGTGTGAGCGGCAGCCATCTTGGTCGCCGACCACCTTGCCAAGGCAGAGGCAAATAAACACTCCAAAAAGCACCAAAATATGTTATAGTAAACCAGAAAGTTACTCACGTAGTGACAATAACAACCAAAAAACGCCTAAAGCAAAAGTAAGACTCAGTCGGAAGCAGGACACCAAAACCGGGCGAAAACGCACGGAGCGCTGGAGACGACGTGCTCACACGACCAGTATTGTATTGTATTTTATTGTAAACAAAAGCGATTAGATTCTTTGAATGGGTATTTTGAAACGAAATGATATATTCTATGTGTATTATCTGTCTCTAATAACATTACGTAACATTTCCCAGTCATTGATATTTTATTCTGTTTCAAACATTCATCGGTACGTATTTTTATTACCTTATATTATATACGTATTGTTAATATTTTATTGTAAATTTAGTAGAAATATGTTATTGTAACTTTTCGTTTCATTGTTTGTTATCTGTGAGTCTAAAATATTAGTTTAATCTTGTGGAACCTTTGAACAGTAGAAGCTTTTGTTTATCTCGTCACTGCATCATATGAATTCAGCGGGTTTGTTATGTAATTATGGGGGTTCGTTAACAAAGAAATCTACTTCAATATGAGGTTTTGTTATTATGTGTGTTTAAATAATCGCCAAGCTGCTGATCGAGTGAAAATACCTCTGGAATGTCTAGAATATAGCCTCATGGTTTCATTTTACTAACGAGTAAATAATTATGCCAAATAAGACGATTTATAGATGTTTTATTTATTTTGGTATTTAAGGGAAAGAAACTGACGTAAATAAAAACTAATTTCTGTTCACTTCATCGCGAGTAACAATCGGAAAGCAAAAACAAATAAAGCGAATAAAATAAATTTGAAATCTCATTAAAAACATAGTATATTTCAATGTGAAAAAATACAAATACACAATATATATTGAAAGTATAACACTAAATGATATAACATCATTATGGCATAATATCAGTGACAAGAACTTAGTGACCCTGGAAGTATGTCCTCATCAGACTCACTCCAAGTTTCGTCAACTGCTGTGTTTGGTGCAGCGTGTTCTGATACTTCCTTCACCCCATCTTTGTTCTGCTCATTAATGACATTTATCACCACTGTGTCTTGGCGTTCACATCTATCTTCACTGCACTTTGCCCAATAGTACAATGGTGTATAACCCTCTTTACCTGCGAACCCAGAACCTAAAACCGTTATGGCCTCCCATGTTGTTTTTATCTCTTTCCAATCACCATGATGAATGATTGGTTGTCCTTTTATGTTTTTCTGTTCGTAAAACTTGCTAACAGTTGTCTTTGCTTCGATCTTTGCTGCTTCCTAAATTTAAGAGAAAGAAAGAGAACATGTGAACAATACGGACACCCAATGGAAAGAGATAATTGTCCATTTACCTGTGGAGAGTTAACATTTATATTTACAAACAGATTGAGTTCATGGGGAATTGTGACATGGAGAAGGACGCCACGCAAATATCGTGGAAACTAACAGGAGAAGAGGGAAGCATCTTTGTTCTGGGAAGCGGGTAAATATCGTAAGAACTAAATCTATTGAAGGTGGCAAGTATTGTGGTATTTTACTTAGAGAAGGTACTAGCCTCAAGGTATCGACTATCGGTAGAAACACTTATGCCTGAGAGATTATAGATGATAAATAAAAAAGTATTATTATCATAGTAGTGGGCATAAATAGATTGAAAGTGGGTTTCTTGGCGCAATAAAATACAATTCAATTCTTTTATTTAAAGTCAGTTTGAAGTACCTAGCCAAAGGCTAATATCACTGACTACTAAAAATTACATCAAACAAAAGCAAAAATTACAAACATCAAACACAGAGAAAAACAACAGTAAGACTTCACAAATAATTAATTGTTTAAGTAATTAAATATCCTGAAATGATGGTGACCTCAATGACACCATTTGCTTAAAAGAATACAAATCA